TAGACCAGAGCAATGATGTCGAACGACTGTGGCAACAAATGGAAAAATCAATTACAGTTCAGCAGAACTAATAATAGGAAAAAGAAGGACGAAAACAAGGAAATGGTTTGATAAAGAATGCCAAGAAAAACTACAAGACAGACAGAAAAAGCGAAACATTATGCTTCAACAAGAAACAACAGAAAGTAAAGAAAACTATACAACATCACGACGAGAAACAAGAAAACTAATTAGAGAGAAAAAAAGAAAATACGAACAACAGCAGTATGAAGAAATGGAAAGAAATAGACAACAGTCAAATAGTCGAGCATTTTACAAATCTTTGTCAAACGAAAAGAGAGGATTCAGACCTAACTGCATGTCTGTACTGAGAAAAAATAATGATGAATTAATAATCAACGAACAAGAATTACTCCAAACATGGCAAGAATATTTCAAAAATTTACTTAATATACACCAAGATGAAGAACATGGAGAGGATACATACCTTGGAGTGGACCTACCAGTAGAGTACCCAAAAATAGACGAAACATTGCAAGCAATTAACAAGTTGAAGAACGCAAAAGCTTCAGGCTCTGACAATATACCAGCCGAATTTCTTAAGTACGGAGGAGAAACTTTACATAGACAATTATACAAACTAATAACACTTATATGGAACGAAGAGAAAATACCAACAAAATGGCACGAAAGTGTAATAATTCCTATCCATAAAAAGGGAGACAAAACCAAGTGCTCTAACTATAGAGGCATCTCCCTACTTAATACGGCGTACAAAATCTTATCGAACATCATATTAAGTAGACTAACACCTTTTGTAGAAAATTTCATAGGGGAATACCAAGCCGGATTCAGAAAAAATAGATCGACCATAGATCAGATTTTTACTCTCAGGCAGCTGCTTGAAAAAGGATGGGAATTCAATAGAACCATTCATAAACTCTGCATACGACAGCATTAAAAGGGATCAGATGTGGAATGCAATGGCAGAACTTTCAGTTCCAAAAAAACTTATCCAGCTCGTTAAAGTTTGTGTAAATAACTGTAGATCTAGAGTGCGGATAGGTAGCAAGCTCTCAGAGTCGTTTGAAATAAACAGTGGACTGAAACAGGAGACGCGCTGTCACCTCTTCTTTTTAATATAATCCTGGAAAAAGTAGTAAGAACAGCACAAATTAGAACAGAACTACTGACAGTAAATGGACCAAAATTACTACTAGCATACGCGGATGACATTGACATTGTCGGAAATACCGTCACCAATGTAAAAGAAACCTTCAATAAATTAGAGAGAGAGAGAGAGAGAGAGAGAGAGAGAGAGAGAGAGAGAGGCAAAAAATACCGGTCTAAGGGTCAATGAAGAGAAAACCAAATATATGTGCATTAACAGACAAAAGAGACGAGATAGAATAGGACAAAATGTAACAATAGACCCCTATAACTTTGAAAGAGTGGAGAGTTTTAAATATCTCGGAGCGACTATCACCACAGATAACGATATCACGGAAGAGATAAAAGGGAGAATTCAGGCAGCAAACAGATGTATGTATAGTCTCTACAACACTATTAAATCCAAGAGCCTAACACAAACATCAAAAATAAGGATATATAAAACAGTAATTAGACCGGTGCTCATGTATGGGTGTGAGACGTGGACGCTGACAAAAGCAATGGAAAGTAAACTCAGATGCTTTGAGAGAAAAATCCTCAGAAAGATCTTCGGTCCCTATCACGATCCGAATACTAACCAATACCGAATGAGAACAAATTCCGAGGTCAAACAAATGTATAGTGCTAGCGACGTAGTCCAAGAGATTAAATCCCAACGTCTAAGATGGGCTGGCCATGTTCATAGGCTCCCTAATAACCGCCTTACCAAGTTAATCTGGGAAGAAGTCCCGACAGGGAGAAGGCCCTTAGGACGTCCACGAATGCGATGGAGAGATAATATATGGTCAGATTTGAGAACAATGGGGCTACCCACTGACTTAACCATCATGGACGACCGTTCGAGATGGAAGCAGGTTGTGCAGTCAGCCAAGACCCACCCCGGGTTGTAGTGCTACCAGAAGAAGAAGAAGAAGTTTGCTACTCGTGTTTTGGTTGGAGAACTAGGTAGTGCATAAAGGTTTCTTTCTTTGATGGACTCTAGAAACTAAGTACACAAAAATAAATCAAAAAAGTACTTACAGAGATTGCGTGGGCAACAATACACAAGAAGATTCCTAAACTATTTAAAATGGACGCACTTTAAAAAAATTCTCTTGCTGGTTAGAAAGAAAGGCTTTTCTTTCCTAAAAAATTTAAAGGGAGAAAATGTTTTTAAAATAAATAATTTTAAACTCCTGGTTTAAAGAAAAACATTACATATTTATTATTATTTCACATTAACAGTTATTACAAATAAAATCATCATAAAATAGAATTTAAATTTTGGTTATGTACTTTTCTTAATTATTAATTAATTATCAAAGTCAACTTTATTAAAAGAAAAATATGAATTAGCTAATCTATAAAACTTTCCATTCATGTTATCTAAGAAAAAACAGATTCACAAAGAATGTTCACAATAAAAGTGATCGATGTCAAACGCAAAATGTGTAAAGAATACACATCCAAGACACTGGTCATTTTTTTAATATGTAAAACCTGTGAGGAAAATGTCAAAAAATTATTGTTTATTCATTTTATTAGTTTGTGAGTACGTTTTATGTTTTAACATTTTTTTGTAATAAAAGATTTTTCAACATAATATTTACTTTCTTTCATTAAAATTGTTTGTTAGACTAATGGATGGTTAATCTACTAAGCTGTCTATGATTAAGTTTGTTAATTGGCACATTTTTTTGTAAAAAATGGCACCGATAATGACTTAAGTTGAGACGCCTCGAAAATAAATAATTAAAACAAAATATAGTACGTAATAATATATAACAAGGTCATTTTCCAACACTAACAACTATTTTGTATTTATTTATATCAAAGTCGACGAGGAAATTGGAAAAATTTATGCATCGTATATAAAACTTGTTTTGTTAATAATCACCATGACGCTATAATACAATACAATTCCTGATCATTAAATCTTAAAAAGGTCAGCAGCAATTAGAATGATACCACACGTCATGACATCCACGAAAACAAAGAAAAAACTCTTTAAAATTTAGTGATCTCTGTCTGAGGAGGCTTTGTTTTGTATAATGTTAAAAGTTTATTCAAACATTGTAAATAATAAGTACATATAAATTTAGTAAACTGGCAAAATGTGTATTCTTTGTAAAATGTGTTACTTTATTGACGTTGTATAGATCGAATAGCGAAAGAGAACTTGATATATCTTGATTTTGAATCTGGTTGTAAGTGTGGCAGATTTTCCGGGAGAGTTGACTGTAAGGGACTCAAATTTTGAGCCGGGTACATTTTGAGTTTTAAATAATTGGTTGAATCTGTGTTGATTGCAGAATTGTAAAAGAATGTGTAGGTAGGAAAATTAGGTATGTTTATGTGATGTTTTCTGGGACTGTAGTGGGGGATAGGATGGGTGTTTTTTGGTTGGATCTGTTAGTGATGGTAAGATATTTGGCTCCGGGAAGAACTTCTTTGACTTTTTTCTTTAGAGATTTGGCATTGATGGGGTTTGTTAGGTAAAGAGGACTATTTTTTCCTATTTCTTCACGTAGACTGCAAAGAAATTGTTTTCGTCATCTAACATGACCGGAATGATTAGAATTAGTGGGGTTTAGCTGCAGAATTTGGTTGAGATGTGATTTATCGTGTATTTTGTGTCGTGTAAGTGTGTTACGTCACGTTATTTAAAGGACTCGTTATTCAGATAATCCTAATCGTTTCGTAGACTCACTGTTGCTTCTCTGAGTTCCTCAGTTGTTTGAATCGGGCATCCATCTAGAGCAGTGATACTCAACCTGCGGCCCTCGGACTTTTATTATGCGGCCCGAAGGCTATTTTTGTAATTCATTATAAAAATATTATTAAAAATTCCCTAATCAACAAAGTCTAATTTATAATATAAAAAGATCCGCCCCTGTGGTGTTCAACCGGGGATTTCCTGAAGTTGACGTTGTTATACTATGTTTGCATTTCATGTTGATTTGGAACCAGTTTCAATTATTATATGAACATATCAATTTCATTTAGCGCTTCCGTTTACACACGTATCGTCTTTTTCAAATTTTGTCAAGTGTTTCTTTTACTTATAATAATTGTAATTATAATTGATTTGCCGGGAATTTAAAACAGTGACAATGGCTGGCGTGTCCTCAAAATCAAAACGTAAAATATCTGATGAAAACAGACTATTTCAAGATAATTGGAAGATGAATATTTTGTTGTAACTAACAAACACGGTTTAGCCACTTGTATGATTTCTCGAGAGATTGTTATTTTAAAGAAGTATTATATTACGAGACACTATAATACAAAACACATGAATGTGTTGCTTGTGTGAGTCCATTTCAAATAGGTAAAGAAATAATAAATAAGACTTACTCACAATCAATTTAATTTAACTTTCAGGCGACCGGTTTCGCTTTCTACAATATGCAAAGCATCTGAAGATGTTTGTATTGAGACCTGAAGATACCTCTACCAGACTGAAGTCCGAGCCTAGTACCGTTCTTTGTGTAACCCCCAATCAATCATCAAAGAGGGTACAAATTAGCAAAACACTTCTTGCTGGAACACTGTTTCTATCGTATACAGGAATTTGTTTGTTTGAGCTTCTAGCGTGGTCGTTTTTATGAAAACTATTTTACACCTAACTGAATTGTTTTTTTTTTATATTTCTGTATTATTACTTTTTACACTATATGTTATATTATGTGTTCTTGTATTATTTCTTAGTTATTTCCTATATATACAAAGTGACTTATTTATATTGTGACATGACATGTAGTGTGTACTATGCAAAAATTGTCAATAAACGTATCTATCTATCTATTCCAATTACAACAGACGTGTCTTATAGATGGTTTCTGTTTTAGGAATGATCCATAGTTCCGGTCTAGTCAAACGGAAGCACATCATTGCCGGTGACGATGCCAAAGTTGTTGCCAGATTGAAGAACGCCGGTGCCATTCCTATTGCTTTGACCAATGTTTCCGAACTTTGTATGTGGTGGGAAAGTGCCAACAACGTCCACGGACGATCCAACAATCCCTACGACGTTAATCGCATCGTCGGCGGATCATCTGGTGGAGAAGGGTGTGCCCAGGCGGCTGCCATAACTGCCTTTGGTAAGATCCTTATTCTCTAGCAAATGTTAATAGTTCAAAAATAACGGTGATATGTAATTTAGAATTAGGTACAGTCTCTACGCGATTGTATTATCTCTTTCTAAATATTCTCCTATTGCAAGATTGAACAAGCTGAATTTTGCTGAGAAACAATAGTATACAGTCCTGGCAACTATCAAATTTGTTTCAAATTGCTTGCAATAATTCTAAACATGCCTAAAACACAAGAATGCATCACGACGAGAAGAGGAGAAAAGAGTCATAGGTTAGCTATCGTTAGTGTTTGTTGAAATTTATCTTACTTATGTGGTAAAAAATCATGTAAGAAGATTTTGAATATGTAAACCATTTATAATAATAAATACTTTTAAATTATTTCCAGGAATTGGATCTGACATAGGCGGATCCATCCGTATGCCATCGTTCTTCAACGGGATCTTTGGGCACAAACCATCGCCCGGCGTAGTTCCCAATCACGGCCAGTATCCAGAACCAGTAACGGAAGAACAGAATCGCTTCCTGGGCCTCGGTCCAATGTGTCGACGAGCCGAAGACCTACTACCTCTTCTCAAAGTGATCTCGGGACCAGAAAGCACCAAGTTGAAATTGGATGAACCGGTGGACGTGAAAAAGCTCAAGTGGTTCTATCAGGACAATGATAGTGGGTCTTTCATGGTGTCCCCTGTATCTAGGGAGATACGAGAATTGTTTGTTAAGATTAGTCAACATTTAGATAAGGCGTATAATATTAAAGCCACTAAGGTATGTATATTCATTAGAGTTTTAGGGCATTTTATTGCGAGAACTTGTATTTTGATTGTTTTGAGGTGTAGAAGACCTGTAGTAAGCAAATATTACTTAGTGATTTGTCATTGCCTTCCTAGAGAAGACCTGAATCTGTTTTGGTTTTTAGTTTGCATTGGTAGTCGGCACAACATGCAGATAAGCTCACTCATGAGTTGCTGAGACAGCACAGTCAGTTATAAACTGCCTTTTTCCTATTTCATTGTAATAGAACAGGTTTCCGAGATGTTTTGTGGATTGGAACATTATTTAAACTCCCTTCTGTTTAATTTTTTCACTCAGCAACACAAACTCGTCTTGAGTTTTTCACAGCTAATCTGCTACATTTATACTTCCTTTTTTAATATACTACTAATATTTTCTCTATATTTAGGTTAACTATAAAAAATTTGCCAAGAGTGGAGCTATGTGGTTCGCCAATATGAAATCACCCAACGGACCATCATTTGAACAACACCTCGCCGACATGGAAGGATCAATTAACCCTTGGTGGGAACTCCTCAAGTGGGTATTCCAGATGTCCGAACACACTTTTATCGGTATCGTTACATGTCTGGCCGAAAAGGGAGGATGCCAGTATGGGGATGACAAATATCATTATTTGGTACAAGTAAGTGGATGTTTTTTTGTTATTATTAATAAATAGACATATATTGCTGGCCATTTTTGAAATATACAGACTATTTCCTTATCTAAGTTTATTTCCCAATGGATAATTAACTTGGGAAAAGATCACTAAAGCAGTTAATGGCTCTTCATCTTTCATTCCATCCCATTAAGTGCCTCTTACATTAGGTAACGACCAAGACCTTAGCAATATTCTTTATGGCTGTAGGAACCTTGTAACGGAAATAGTTTGCCTACCAAAGGGTTCATTAATACAGGGGGTAGAAAATTGAGGGAAGAAACTATTGGTGGTGGAGATAAGGCAAGCAAAATAATCGCTACTTGTGCGAACGGCACTCAGGGTTTGGTAGGAGAGCTGGGGTCGTGGATAAGTAAAAGATAAGGGTTTTGGATTGGGGCAACTACAAAAAAAAGAAATAAAGGGGTCATTAATCTCTTGGGATAAACAAAATAAAAATAAACAGGAAACACCTCAAGGAAAGTAATTATAAAACATCAAAAACATATCTTTTTCAAATAGAACTCAAAAAAGGGTTAGTTCAAAAAAATAAACAAAATGTTAAGAAAACAAAGTTTAACATTTATTTTTGTGTCACCACAAACAGTTACAACATGGAGAAATACTAGAATACATAAACTTACGTGTGTCATCCGCTTACAAACTCCAGGAGTTGGAGATACTACATAAAACTTTCAAATGTTACCGAATTACAATTTTTAAATGTTACAATTTCTAAATTTTAACGAAAGCAATTATTGTTCTAAAAAAATATCTGTCTTTACTTTGAAATTAAACAAACAATAAACAGTTACCTGGATTCACATATTTCCACTTAAAAAAAAACTTGTTACATCTCTGGAGTATCTATCCGGACATCTGCGAAGAGCTTTATCAATTGGGGCTGGAACTAGCACACTTGGAAAAACGGGAATTCTCAAAAAAACAGGAACTAAACTTGTTCAACTTTTCAACAGGAACTAGACTTTTCAAACATCTTAAAATCTTCAAAAAAAAACGAAACAGTGGTCACTCTTTCTAAAATGACATATTACATCGAGCGAAAACTCCACTAATTTTGGCAAATTAATGCCGGTCACTTCATACTAGATAAAAATCCACCACTACTGCTACTTATTTCCCCAAAAGGAACCAAAAATAGAAAACTACAAATTCGACGACGAATTCGGATCCATACCTGACACCACGAAGACCCAAGTATGAATTAAGATCCTTACCTAACACTACGAAGACCCAAGTATGAATGACGAATTTAAAAATTCGTTCATATAACTTGAAAATAAACAAACCGCTGAAATTACCAAAACACAAACGAAACGACGTAGATATCCTTTTGTGACGTATAAAAATTATAAGACGACTTCGAATAAAACATTAAAAGAAATTGCCGAAAAAGTTAAAATAATAAACAACTCTAAAATGGTTTATTTTAACATCTAGCAATGCAAATGCAATTATTGAAAACACTTTTGCGTATTTTAACTTGAAAGATACGAACTAACAAACACGGAAAAAGTTCTTCGTTTTATTTTTTAAACATATATAAGGCGATTTCAATATATTACATATACGAGGAGATTTCAATATACTTCAAAGAATCAATGAAATTGAAAATGCTACAACCTGCGCTGTGATTAAACAATCGTTTATAGATTACTAATCTGTAATGATCTCTATCTTATAATCTCAGTTTGATGAGCTATCTCACAGTGCTTGGAGCTTACTTCTTCCTCTCAGTTGGCCCTTGGCTTGATCCGGTTTCACTAATTGCATATTATGATAACACAATACGCTATTTCGTTACGCAGAAACCCAATCAGACCCTCAACCAGTAAAACCAGACCTGTCCTTTGAGTTTGGTTCGCTAATACCTTGAGGGCAGCCTAACTGTCGGAACAGATACATGGAGAACCCTCCTGCTGCTTCACCACTATACGCTTCCGCCAGAATCAATAAAGCTCAAGGAAAAGTTCTCTAAAATATTTAGCTCTAGTAGTAGGTAATATATAGAATAGATAAAGAAATAGTCTCTAAATGCTTCTGTGTGGCATGTCCACTTTTATTGCTTAAAAAATGGAAAAATAATATTTAAAACTGAATTAAAACGCTGTATTTTTATTAGACTTTCTTAGTTTTGCAATTTTTTAACAATGTTTGTATAAATTATTTTTTATTGAGCGACAATTCTTGTTCTGTTTCGTAGGAACGTAACAACCTCCGTCGAGAACTCCTAGACCTCCTTGGCGATGACGGAGTCTTCCTCTACCCCACGCACCCCACAGCGGCCCCCTACCACAACGAACCATTAGTGAAGCCTTTCAATTTTTCCTACACGGCTGTGATAAACGTACTTGGTCTGCCAGCCACTCACTGCCCAATGGGTTTGGACAAGCAGGGCTTGCCCATCGGCGTGCAAGTGGTGGCCGCCGACGGAAACGACAGATTATGCCTGGCAGTGGCGAGAGAGATCGAGAAAGCTTTCGGAGGTTGGGTTCCTCCTGCTATTAAGGCTTGAAGGAGGTAGTCAAAGCGTAAGAAAAGCTGTCAGAGTGGTGGTAACTAACAAAGGCGTTCGGTGAATGTTTTACTTATTCGGAAAAACGTTTTACAAATTTGGATGCATCTGAATTACTGGCAATGTTAATTTTAACTCTTATTTTATTGTATTGACCAGTGTTAATTATATCAGCTATCCTAGTTTTCCCAGGACGTATAATTCGAGTTTTAAAAGAATTTCCTTTAAATGATAAAGTGTATTAAAATTGAATCATGTGGATAGAAGTTTCCAAAAAGTGGTTTTTCAGCAGACTTTCTAAAAAATCACTTTCAAAAGTTCTATAACCACCGATTTACTTCTAACAGATAGCTTCTAACTTAGAGAAAGCGATAAGAGAATTTGGCATAACAACCAGAGGAACTATTATTAATCGCAGCGTACAATTACCAGCGTACGCCGATGACATCGACATTATTGCAAGAAGGAAGGCGGAGCAACAAAAAGAATGGGACTAGAGTTTAACACTAGTAAGACGAAGTATATGAAAGTATCAAATTATATACAAGCACCACAACCCGAAGATCTAATGATCGGAACATGTACTTTCGGAGGAGTAAGAGAGTTTATATAACGAGGCTCACAAATTAATCAGACTAATGCAGTATTTTAATAAATTCTAAGAAATACCGGACTGAAACCATGAAACCGACTGCTTTGGTAGCGGACATATGAGTAGTGATCTCATCACCCAGAATCATTCCCTTGACATCTTACATTTTCCCACCAATCTAGGTGGAAATATTCATATTTGACGCGCAAATATCTAAGCGGAATCAAGATCAAACGAAAAAGCAATTTGTGTGATTATAAACAGACTAAAAATGTTTATATTACCAATCTCAGAGACACAAGAATATTTTCCGTGTTTTATTCCATACGGCATGAAATGAAAATGCTACAAAATAGAATATATAATCCACTGTGGGACGTTGAGTAAGGTAATAGCCAAAACCTCGGTGAAGCGATCTCAGTGGTAGAACTTTACGTAACTGTGATCATATTTTGTACATTCACATGCAAGTTTAATATTACTTTAATATAACTTTCATAAGTTATATTCTCGTATATTGGTTTTGATTTTTAAAAACGCACTTTTTATATCTATGCCTTCTTATTATTATTCTACGCTACATTATTCGCTAAGAATGTAGCGTACAATGATTTTTAAATATTTTTAAACCGTTTGCCCTTGTTTTAGTGTAGTGTTATGTACAATTTATGTTTAATGTCATGTTTATTACAATCTGCGCTTGCTGGATAGGCCAAATTTGACGAAATGCCGCTGATAATGGTGTAGAAAGCGAAAGTACTTGGGCAAGATTTGATTAATAAAATTGTGCTCAATGTTTGCCTTTAATTTTTCAAAATTCTTAAATTGTTTAGAATACCAATAAATTTAACAGAAATACTCGCTTTAATACAAAACCAGGTAAATATTGCAATATTTTTCGATCATCTTGAATTTTTGACAGAATCACAATACTGTACAAACACTGAAAGTGATTATTGTTTTGACATTCTTTGGCGCACACGGCGAGTATACATATTTCTTCAAAAACACAAAATAATGCTAATTTTCTTAGCATTCTGTTTAGAAATTACCAAACGTTTGTTATATGAAAGTGATATTTATAGAAAAATGCCGAACAACCGCATTTTTTACTTTGAAAAATTCTTATCCACGTGGATATTTATATTAAAAAAAATTCTTAAATTTCCACTTTTTTAAAATGCCCCAAATTTTAAATACCTAAATTGGTGAAGAAAAAATCAGTATTCTAGTAATTTTACACGTAATTTCCGAATTTTCTTGTCAATCACTGTATACATCACATTTTTAGCAGCAAATTATCAATACAAACTATTATTGATGTAACTTGCTGATATCAAATCACCAAAATAAATTATTATTCAATGTGTTTGTTATTTTGATCTTGTTAGTTCGTATTGCCTCTGTATAAACTTAACTGTACGTTGGAAGATGCGAAGCCAAAGAAAAATAGAGATTGCACTGTCTGACCTTGTTGTATACTGTAGACTTTGTATATTTACTTTTTGGAGTAATTTTCCAGCTTGTCATATTCTTCATGTTTGAGATTATTCCATTTTTGAGGCGTTTATTTTTAAACTATTTTTTAACAACAATTTCACTTTGGTTATCACACCACCACCAAGGTCAATATCAGTGTCTTGCATCAACAACGTTTTACATGTGACATTTTTTTAAGTTTGTTTCTGAAATCCATAGAAAAGCATATGTTGACAATATAAATAAACTGTGCATCGTTTGGAGAGCAAGTAAAACTTACTTTTTTGTAAAAATTGCTCAATTCCGGCTCTGAGGACCACATGTGATCCAACAATTCTGTTTTATCATTTATTACTTACATTATTGTACTTACAGTTCTTTCATTGAGCGTATGTATTGGCTTTAAATATATGCACCCTTTGTCTCTCTCTCTCTCTCTCTCTCTCTCTCTCTCTCTCTCTCTTCCTCTCTCTCCCTCTCTTTCATTCTCTGTCCGTAAAGGATGCAAGTTCAGATCAGTGCCGGATCTAGACATTTGTCGTAGGGTTGGAGGGAACTTCCAATGAAACCAAAAGACATAAAAAGGACATAAACAATAACTTCTATGAATTAAGTTCCCTTAAATATTTACAATATTTACAAAAATACCACTATGACTGTTAAGATATACGATAAAATCCAACCAATAAAAATAAAACGTGGTATAAGGCAAGGAGATACATTGTCACCGAAATTATTCATAACGGCATTAAAGTATGCCTTTAAGATGGTCAATTGGGACCACAGAGGAGTAACAATAGGCGGCGTAAAGCTTAACCATCTCCATTTCGCAGATGACATTGTCTTTATCACAGATAATTTAGGAGAAGCCACAGATATGTTAAATAAATTGGACTTTGCAAAGGTGGGCCTCAGAATGAACTTGACCAAAACTAAGTTTATGACAAATCTGGTCCCCAATAACCATTTAACTATGCAAGACAACGTGGTAGAGCTGGTGGAGAGGTATACATATTTGGGTCATAAAATAAGAATCAGCAGGGATAACCAAACATGCGAAATCTAAAGACTAATTACTTTAGCGTGGGCAGCCTCGCTAGATCATATTGGAAAAACTGTCCAGTATTTGAGCGAAAAAAAAACGAAATCAAAACAAATGAAGAAAAGTATAAGAAATTTTTGCAATTTCTGCCTTAACTCAACATCATCTTCGGACATGTTCTATTTTTTTAATTCCAAAACTATTGATTCTATGTTTTATTAAACCGTAGTCTCTCGGGAAGCCATTGAAATTGATAGACATCCCGATTGTCTCAACAAAAGAGGCACTCAACTACCTTTTATATAAAGATACTTTCTATGCTCATAAAATATGCTATGCTGAAAGATTCAGCAGGAACAACCAGCTATGCGAAATCCAAAGACGAATTACTTTAGCGTGGCAGCCTTTGGAAAACTGCGAGACACACTTATGGCCAACATACCAATTAGCCTCAAAAGAAAAGTATTTGACCAACGCGTATTATCGGTCATTACCTATGTGGCGGAAACTATTACTAACCAAGACTAAGGCTTCGAAATTGAGAGTGGTACAGAGACGAATGTAACGGTCTAGGCTGGGAGTGACGTTGCGGGACCTAATAAGAAAATAAGACCTGCGAAGAAGGACGAATATTGCTGATGTTGTGGAACGCATAGCGGAACTGAAATAGAACTGGGCAGGCGATACAACGAGAATACATGACTCACGATGGAGGAGCAAAATTACACATTGGAGACAGGGACAGACAAACGTAGTAGATGAAGACCACCTATACGTTGAGCTGACATCAGGCATATCACCAAAAATTGGCAACAAAGAGCACAAAATCGTAAAGAATGGAAGAGTTTAGTGGATGTGATAAATGAAGGCATTATCATGACTAACTTACGGGTTTATTGGGTTGAATCTGGCTGTGGTTTAAGTTTCATATCAGCTAATATATTTTTATGTTTTTTTTTTTAATTTTTTAACAATTTTTTTCTTTAATTTTGGACATTGTTTAGGGGACTTCCCCTCCCGTGTATCCGCCCTGGTTGAGATTGAAGTTCGGTTAATTTTTTAGGTTAGTGTCCTAAATGATTTTTTTTTGTTCATCTCTGGAAATATGCACTATAAAATTTTGGATATACCAAAATTGATCTTCTAATTGAGGGCTTTAATTTGGCAAATAATTTGATCTTAAATGACGGATTCTACTACTACTAAGTTAAGTTACTTACTACTAAGGATTTCCACAGTTTTCACTGTCTTCCTTCACTCAACCGTTTTCTCAAATTTTCCCTGTCATTCCAGTCTCCATCTCGCAGGGTTCTTTTCTCCATAGCCTCGTCGATTTCGGCTCTGAATGACCTTCGGGGTCTTCCTCTCTTTCTACTAATACTAACACTGTTGAAATTTATTGACATAGGTCGTTCTAATCACAGGCCTCGGTAAAATCTGTGTTATTAATATAGTTTAGTGTCCTTTCGGATATATTTATTGATAAATCTACAGATATACTACTTAAATAAAAAAAATAATTTTGTTTAGTGATTGCCACATGAAGAATAAGATTATTCATAATTTTTTGTTACAGATTTTTACCAATTCATGTTCCAGTGTACAGATTAGTTTACAGAGTGTCAATATTGTTTTCTACAAATTTTAGGTAAAAAGAGTACCCCACTCTGGCGGCGCATTTTCGGACCAGGCCTAATGCTATGTGATTTAAAAAAAATCCAGTGATAGGCATGAGATTTTACTAAACTTTTTATATGTGTACATTTATTTTAAAAGTTTATATATAAACACGTTTATATTTATTATTTTTGCTAATAAACTGTGTATTTATTATACAAATAACTTTTTATAGACGTTAATAAAAATGTTGTTCTGTTTATTATTAGGGCTATTGTTAATGTTTCGAACATTTGGTTAATATTTGAGTGAGTCACGACTTTAGTATTATATGGAGGTGTAATATTTATGGGCTATTGTAAAACATATTACAGACTGCATTCTAAGAAGGTGAATAACCACCACCTACTTGTACTACTATTTTAATCGAAAAATGTATGACACAATTATTGTCATCCCTGGGGATGGTAGATAAATGGGAGAAAAATATATTTTTGACCTATATATAGTTTCGTATCGACAATTTCTGTTAGTAAATATTGAGAATATTTTGCGAGTGTATTTTTTCCATATATACTATTTCCAAAACTTGTCCAATGTGCTTTTTCTACTTTTGTGGCAACCAGAAGTAAAACTTCCCAAATTATCATCAATTTTTTGGTATCTTGTACGTTAGGACCATTAGGCTGTACTAATTTACCGGACGAACAGACGGACGGACCTCATAAAATTAAAGGATTGATTG